GGCTAATAAGAAGAACAAACTGAATCTGAAATAAAACTAGAAGCTTTAGTCACTCTTCAACTGTAATAAAAGAGGGAATGAAAAACTGAAGATTTTATATACCAGGTGTTATCTAGTAGAATAGCTATGATATCAATATTTGTTAGATGAAGTGGAAATGATGTACTAAACAAAAGCAACATAATAAGCGAAATCATCATGTAGGCATACTTTAGATGCTTTCATTAGCTTAGACACGACTGAACCTGGCTGAAACTCCTTACTACCTCAACCGATTATTGAAAGCATCCTGATTTTCACATTTTTTTCTCCTTTTTCATTTTTGATTTTCTTTTTGGGTTTGGGGGTTGTTCCTAAAGTTCTGTTGGGGGATTAGAATTCGACTGGATGTTGATCTTAACTTCATCTCCTTGATATCACAAAATCTTGCACTTGAAATTCTGTGTGAACTACCTAGAGAAAAGTTCAACGTACAAATGCGCTTTTCTATCAGTACAAATTTCCCAATCTTAAACATGAATAAAGNNTTCCCAATCTTAAACATGAATAAAGAATATGCAGATCCAGAAGGATCTCAAGGATGCTAATCCGTCAGATTCACACGCTTAGATCCAAAGTGCAAAACGAATAGATTAAACAAAATTATGAAATCCCAAATCGATAGCAATTGTTTTGGGCAGAAATTTATACAGAAATAAGTCAGAAATGAAATAAATTGAAACAGAAAAATTATAAAAACAAGGTTACCATGTCCTCAGCTGATCCAAAAACACCAGTGTGCTTTAACAATTGACCCAAAAAAAGCCCTCTTCTTGTTCTTGTTCTCTTTATACCAGTCTAGTTTACGGTACAGCCTCTCAAACGGAGAAAAACGGATATACTGCTGTACAAAGTATAAATAATTTCTTTTCTTACCCTCTAAGTCTCCATTATTCACTTGGGACTTTTAAAACTTTTAAAGATTTATAAAAAATTTAAGAATATTTAGCCCCTCACTTAAAAATGAGATTTTTAATAAATTTTGAAAAAAATTAATTTTAACTTAAATTATAATATATACCAAAAAGGGGCTTAATATAGATTTTTAGAACTCTCTAAAAGTTTTTAAATATAACTTATTTTCTCTTGAATTGTCTGTTTGTTTTGGTCGAATTTTTATTAGGTTGGTTTCCGCTAGGTTAAACTCAATTTGTATTTCCGAGCTGAGCCTAATTTGAAAATAAATAGTGGTAATTACACAAAACCATAGTTTATGTATTGACATTTCCAAAATCAGATTGAAAGTTTAATATTTCCAAAATCAGATATTTTATAACCCCATTCTAAATCCCCAATTCGCTCTCTCTCTCTCTCTCTCTCTCTCAACCATCTCTCTGTCGGTGTTGGCGGCGTAGAGGGGGCGGTGGTGATATGGTTGTGGTGGCTGGTTGGTGTTGGGGGCCGATGTATGGGTGGCGGTGCCGATGTATGGGTGGCGGTGATGGTGACGGATCGACTGCTCTCTCTCTACCTTCTCTCTATTGGTGTTGGGGGCGACGGGGAATGGAGGGGCGGTGGTGCCTTGGCTGCAGCAACGGATGATGACCGCTGCAGTCGTCGTCGCGCTCA